AACTTGTGGTAAATATGCATATTGACGACCACAACAATAACCTAATTCTTGTACAACACGATCAATAGATTCAACAAACAGTTTTGCAAGTTTTGTACACATTTTATAGACACGCAATGGTTTATTATTATAAAGTCATGCATCATCACAGAATTCTAATGGATTTTTATATTCTCCACGTAATAATTTAGTATGCATGGTTGATATATCTATTGGATGTTTTACTATTGTTGGATAATCAAGTATATTAAGTGCAACAGGATCGACTGGTTGACGAAATGGATATGAGTCTTTCCAAGCGACCATTTTGTAAATAATTGGTTCCAGATGTGTACGTAAAGTTTCAGGTGTAAATTGAATAGGATGTTTAGATAATTGTTTACTTGATCCATCGATTTGTTTTATTGTTGGTTTCATATTGTCGCTAGTCAACAATGGTGAATGAGATTCGATCATCACAGTTGTTGATGTTGAATGTGTTGAAAAATGTGAAAAATTATCTTGTGTTGTTTCGTTTTTGATCATTGAAAATCTAGAAGCTTAAATTAACGACATTAGTAGTGGATTACTACAATTCAATTGTGTATAATATGTTTTGAAAATGAACGAAGAATGGCTATGAAAACAAAACAATACCAAAGGAGAAAATTCAATTGACTTTTATTGTATATCGTGCTCAAACACACCAGCTTTCCGTCAAAAGCGAATGAAGAGTAAGCATACGAGCCAGTCAACCTTGGCTTAGTCTCCATGTATGACTAATACGAAATGAATTTGACTAATAGTCAGCGATTTTCATCATTAATGTTAGTTGGAATCGATAGATCTCATCGAGGTCTACTTAGCAACGTAAGAGTACGATTGGAGCCGTCCTCTGCACGAATCGTGGCTGATTTTCTCATTTTTTTCGAAGTCTTCTTTTATTTTTGTTAAGACTTTTGGTATTTCACTGTGAAAACTTTTTGGATTTGGGCAACAAGATGTCGAATCGATAGAGTTCATTGAACTCTACTTGAAAACCTAGGATCACTATTGGAATCGTTATCTTGGCTAATCTCGACGAGAAAAATGCAGATCCTGACCTAAGATATCCTACGTCGGGGGTTCACTGCCATTATATTTCTGTGATATATGTGTTCTCTATAGTTCTGGAAAGATTTGATCGTTGAATCATTAGGATGAAGTTCACTGCGAATCAGCGAGAATAGCTTAGTCGAATAAAACCTTTTTAAGAATTTTATAACCCATACTAATAAGATTATGAATTCTGTCTTTGGGCAAGTAACATGGTTAACTTATCTTTGCTACACCGTGCATCACATTCTTATCTTTGTTCGTGTTGCGCAGAACATAAGTCATTAGTTAAAGAAAAATGGCGACAACGCTGAATAAAGGCGCACGTAAAAGTTGCAATACACGTCGTGCTGGGGTGTGGGTGTCGGTTAAAGTTTCCTCTTCACTTCCATTCACACGCTTCATGTATATTAATTTGGAATAATTTGTGATACCGCTACTGCACGTATATTTACTAATACTGAACAAATTTGTTTTAGGAAAAACGATTTTAATCGGATTTTGTGTCAAAAATGTTGACATGAAAGGTACAGAAACTTTGCTTGATATGGAGGAAATTTGCGACATTTTAAAGGATTGCATGTCTTCTTCTTTTCAAATTTGCTCTTTAAGCCATTTGCTCACTGATCTTAGTTTTAAGAAAATCACATCTAAAAAAGAATACAGATGTCTTCATCTGAAAATATATAGGCTAAATCAGGCAAAACAGGATATTCATACCTTTAATTTGAGTTTTATTGTCTATAAGAGTGACTCTTTTAGATAAATTCTTTTAGCACAGACTTGCGTGAAAATGTTTGGTCTTTCACATGGTTATTAATTAAAATTAATTAATTAATTAATTAAAAAGTAATTAGCGAGTATCTCACTCACTAGATGAGAAAAAAACTTGAAAATTTCAGGATAGATCCTAGGGCACAAGCTGCATCTATGGTAAAATTTTCAACAAGATTGGATTTCAAAAAATTGCTTCTGAAAAACCGGTTCTCTAGAGACCCTAAAATGTGCAGAAACAAAAACTTTGTTTTATCATCATCTAGGGACTCTGAGCAATGATTTGTGACCTTTGAAGTCGGTTTCAAACGTTTCAGTTGGTTACAAGGGCATCTTCTTGGTTGTGTAGTCGTACTATGTCACGTCGCTAACGCCAAATAGACTCAATTTCTTTTAAAATCTACACATAGTCAGGAAAAACGTTGGATAGATATTTTGTAGCTTCAAGAGCCACCTACAACATGCACTATTTAGTTTTCGAAAATATTGTGTAAATCTGCAGATTTTTCAAACTCAAAAGCTTGCAGTGGAAGTTGATATCCTTTTTTGAGTCACGTCGCTAACGCTAATTTTTTTATCATAACTCTAACGAACAAGGATCCCTATGGCTGTTTTTCTCAGGGTATCTAGAGCAACTTAACATAGGTGCATCATATAAAAACTAGCTCTAGAAAAGCTCATTATCCAGAGATATATGCATTTCAATTTTGCGAAGTCACGTCGCTAATAAATGATTTTGCCTATATATTCTTCTTTAATCTTTTTATTTTGTTGTTGTTGCTGTTAAAAAAATCGTTAGTTTCGTAGATCGAAATTGGAAAGCTCCAATAAATTCAATGTCTATGTGCATGTCTGCAAGTGACCACATCCAAACAAGACCAAAATTGAATTCAGTCGTAGAGAAACGAAAGATGAGTTCGTATATAATGAACGGTAAAAAGCCATGATCATACACAGTGATGCTTGCTAGAGATTGCGAAAGGATGATAAAAGTTCATGCACCACCCGTTCACAAACTGAACACACGAATTACTCGACAAGAAAGTACACAGTTAGCATATTCACTTTATAACAGAAATAGTAATCATCACAATAGCGCCCGATAAGCCAGACACTCATTGTCAAGATGATATAGCATATTCGATGAGTCATTCGTCAATTGTAAAAGAGAAATAGAATATGAATCAAGAATAAAAAGAATATTCTAACCATTTCATTGGTATTTTCTTCGTTGGTCACTATATATCTGCACAGTTTTTCATCTAAAATGTGACTTATGATTCAATAATAAAGTGAGTCTTTAGCGAAAACATACGGAGCCACTTATCTCAATAACATCCTGAAAAGAGCCTAGCATCACGCATGGAATCAACTAGAAAGCGTTGAACGAATAATCTACTTGCCCCTACTTGACCCACAACATAGTGAAGTGCCAATGTAATAAGCATACTCACGATGGTGACCATCACCAAGTGTCATTAATCGTTCATTAATTGTAATGCACAACAATCGTTAATATATTCTCGTATTTTATTGAAACAACTTGGATATTAGAATGGATCTAGTACACACATCCATTATTGCTACCTGCTCTGTTTAATACACACTTTTGCAGAAAACAAAAGGATCGTCAACCGATCACACTGTACAACAAGAAAATTTTCAGCTAATAAGAAGTAAAATTCTTGTCGGATATAATCGATTATCCATGTTGTTCAAACAGCTGCTATTGTTTAAGACACATCGCGAAACTGATGGTTTCTCTTGAGAATAAGAGAAAGATTTGAGTTTCTAATGCAAAATATCCATTATCGTAGTATACCACCCTACATATTCGAGTATTTTCCGTATATTTTAGTCATTCAAGGAGCGAAAATTTGATAATCTCTGATCATCAAGCATTTCATATAAAATCTGAGAATTTTATCTTAATTTTGAAAGCTTTAAAGTCACACTATGCCGTAGTTTGATACTGAACTGATATGGATGCTTAACGATCTAATCAGACAAGAAAATTTCACTACGATGAAACATACACATGATAAGATGCTTCATTAGAACAAATTTTCTGCATGCCTTTGTGGCGTCCATTTCTCTATTCGACGGCGAAAATGTCATCATGATAGTTTTTGTGATCAAAATTGATTGGAGAAATAGTAAAGGACATTATCAATAAAGCTGATCATGATTTTGATTGAGTCTTATTGTTGGAAATTTGAAGAAAACTTTTTTAGCACTTTTCCCGCATTTGAATATACCGAAAAGGACAGTAGTGCTGTATCCTTTCACATGCCGCGACACAGTCGAACAATGGCTGAGGAAACACACAAGAAAATTTGTTTTTTCAATCAGAGTTATTCTCTCTTAGACAAGCGGATAACTAGCCAAATCTGCAATGCCACATTCATCTTTCTTGTTTCGACTCATCAAAATATAGCCATCCATACCCCAATTTGTGCTTCAGGAATTTTTTCCTATGTAATAATCTTGCTTCTTCGTACCATTCTTTGCTGTGCCATATCCGACAAGAACCAAAATGTGACCGAAAGCTGTTGTACATTTGGGTTCATCATACACACTAGATGAATAGAATTGAAAGGATGTTTGAGAAGCGTCAATTGCGCTTGAAATCGGTCCAACGGTAGCAATCGCTGTTGTCAGTGTCATTTCATTTTCCTTTGGAAGATCAACAAAACCCTATGATAAAACAGATATTCAGAAGAAAACAAGAAAAACATATAGAGAAAAGAACTGTACCGGTAGCTCCCACATTTTCTCGTTTGAAACGACATTTGCCATCTTGTACTTCGTACGGATAGCTTTCTTTCGTATCTATTCCCTTGTTGTCCTTGATATATTGAAATGAGGCATCCATTAAGCCTCTACTGCAGTCCATATTACCATATTTGCCGGA